CTGTAATATTGTATGCATCTATATGGTTTGTTGGTAGTCGGGAATAGCATTATGGATGGTACTTGGCTGGCATTAGGTGCTAGCCGCATTCAGGTTTTTGGTGGAATCGAACAGCACCCACCTCCAGCGGTCAGTAGTACATAGATAATAGACAGAAACGTTTCGCAAAGGCTCTGCAAGCCAGATGCTGTAATATTGTATGCATCCATATGGTTTGTGGGTAGTCAAGAATAGCATTGTGGTACTTGGCTGGCATTGGGCGCTAGCTGCATTCGGGTTTTTGGTGGAATCGAACACCATCCACCTCCAGCGGTTAGTGGTAAGTAGAAAATAGGTAGAGACGTTTCACAAAGGCTCTGCAAGCTAGATTCTGTAATATTGTATGCATCCATATAGTTTGTGGGTAGTCGGGAATAGCATTATGGTACTTGGCTGGCATTAGGCGCTAGCTGCATTCGGGTTTTTGGTGGAATCAAACACCATCCACCTCTAGCAGTCAGTAGTAGGTAGATAATAGACAGAAACGTTTTACAAAGGCTCTGCAAGCTAGATTCTGTAATATTGTATGCATCTGTATGGTTTGTGGGTAGTCAGGAATAGCATTGTGGTACTTAGCTAGCATTAGGCGCTAGCTGCATTTGGGTTTTTGGTGGAATTAAACACCATCCACCTCTAGCTGTCAGTAGTACATAGATAATAGACAGAAACGTTTCACAAAGGCTCTAAAAGCCAGATTCTGTAATATAGTATGCATACATATGGTTTGTGGGTAGTCGGGAATAGCATTATAGTACTTGGCTGGCATTAAGCGCTTGCCGCATTTGGGTTTTTAGTGGAATCAAACAGCACCCACCTCCAGCAGTCAGTAGTACATAGATAATAGACAGAAACGTTTCGCAAAGGCCCTGCAAGCTAGATTCCGTAATATAGTATGCATACGTATAGTAGGTAGTTAGGAATAGCATTGCGCACTTAGTAAGGCGTGCTAGCCGCATTAAGGCTTTTTCTTGCATAAGCTAAGGAGGGGTCATATAGGAGGCGAGTCAACAAGGTAGTAAGATCCAAACAAGGTGGATTAAATAAGTGTATTGTAAGGTCTAAGGAGCTCAATAGAGCTCTGAGCTAACTATATACTGTACAAGATAGGAGCTATGCCTAATAAGTAAATAGTGCAGTACATGGGTATGATATCGCGTGAGACACGTGCGACACTAACTACAGGATATAGAGCACAAAGGGGTAAGCAACCGCATGCTGCAAGAGCTAGGGTGGGTGGTAGTAGTGCGTAGAAACTGAGATAGTCCACAAAATAGTAAATTATCCCTCCGCAGTGTAGAAGACTTACTGCAGATGCGCAATAAGTTAATGTCTCTTTAGAAAACTCTAGCAAGGTTAATTAGAATAATATTCCACAGTTACAATAGCATATAGGTTAAGCGTTGCTTAGGTATTATTAGGGAGAGATAATAGTAAGATCTATAAAATAATTAGCGTAGCCACAGTGTAAACCTATAGGCGGGAGATAGCCAAAGGGAAGAGAAGAAGGAGGGGGAGGGTGAGGGGGTAGAAAGAAGAGGAGGGGGGGGTTTTAGTATAAGTACTAGTATGTATTGCTAAACCCCCTCTCTTTATCCGCTCCTTAACATGTATATACGTAGTAGCACACGTGACAGGTAAATTCACTATAATAGAGCATGCGTTATAATGTAAAATGCGCTAAACCCTATACAGGATACTCTTTTAAAATTAACGTAAAACAATTATTACATTTTTAGTTAAGGTTTTTATTTATAGTCTTAACGTGTAGCTGAACAGCTTGGCATAGGTCTAGCTAACGTGTAGGATAAGGAGATAGCTAGGGGGTAGAGGGGGGGTTTTAGTATAGGTACCTACTTGTCACCGCTAATGCACTAACCACATATAGGCTTAGCACGCGCGCTAGCCATAAACAACTATTTGCGACCTCATAAGCTCTTTTCACCTCTACAATCCACTACTCTCCGCTCCAGCAGCAGAAGCAGCAGCAGCGACGACGGCGACGACGACGACAACGACAACGACAGGTGCAATTTTGGCGAATTTAAATAATTTCAACTAAAAGAGCAATTGTAAGTTATTTACAGGCTAGCGCTAACTAGCGTGGTGTACTAAAGTTCTAATTAGCTAATTCTAGCAAGTGTGGCGTTTTCCCTAAGTCCCTTCGAGGCGGTACCTATCCCGAAAGCCCCCCCCCTCCCCTCCTCTCCATATCCTCCACCCCTATTTGCCGCCCGCTGCAGTGGAAACAACCCATTGCACTCCAACAAACCTGCCTAGGAACTAGCCAGAAACAGCCAAGTCTACTATTAGGGCCAGGCCCCTAAGATTTAGTAGGTGTTTTCTATATTTACTAGACTTTTTATTCTAGTATGCCTAGGCTAGAGCTAATACAGGGGAAAGAGAAGGTTTAGCTTTATATACTAGTACCTAAGGCTAAACCTCTTTCCCCTTTAGTACTTATCCCTGTCTCCTCTCTAATTAGTGCTTATGCCTAACTCTTTACCCTACTACATATCCTGCATATTTTATAACATTATTAAGTTCTCTAGTAAACTTATAGCTGTTTAGGTTTAGGCTTAGCTAACATTATAACAGGGTTATAGATCTAAGTGCATCTTCTAGCTATAGTCAGGCAGAGCCTAGGGAGTAGCGTGGTTAGATCTAAACCTGCAGCCTTTTACTATATCTAGACACTAATTCTATATCCTAGTTAGCTTCTCTAATTTGCTATTCCTCTAAGTTTTAAGATTACTATAAAGTTAAACTAGATCCTGCTATAGACGCATTCTTTAAGAACAAACAGCTAGAGAAGTAAGCCTAAGCTAAAGCTATTAAAAAGTCTATTACTAACAAGCTTGCTAAATTAGACTAAAACTTAAAAGACATTAAAGTAGTTAGGCAGAACACTAAGACTAGTAAAATTATTCTATATGCAGCTACATAGAGTATTACACAGTTAGCTCTGTATTTTAATGCAACCTAGGGCAAGCTTCTAGACGTAATTAAGAGTAATTATAAATTCTATAAGGCAACTAGTTAACTCTAGCGCGCCTATTTTTCCTACTTTAGCAACGCTAAAGGACCTAACCTGCAGACAGTTCTTAACACTATTGCAGATAACTAACGCTAAAGGACTTATTATTTTAAAGGTACACTAATAAAGTTCTATAATTTTAAAATGCTGTTAAAAGTTAAGATGTATGCTTCTACACTAAAAGTAGTTATGTTTAACCTTTTTAAATAAGCTAACAGGCCCTTTTATAGTTACAGTATTCTTAAGACCTTTGTCCCTAACTAGGCATAGAATCTTATTAAGTGTTTTAAGCAGCTTAGTAGCTAGGCTAAGAAACAAGCAGCTAACTCTAAGCCTTATAGTAGCAATTACATTACTGCAGATACTATTGCAGCTAATGCCTTAAATCCTAAGATCTTGCGTGTAGGAACTCTAGAAGCTTACGCTAGACTAACCTAGTTAAGGAGGAGTGGCTGCGCTAAAGCTGTAAAACAGATTAAGGCGCTTAGCAGTAAACAGGTCCCTAAGGAATACACTGTCCACTCTACTAAGCTAAAAGAAGCACTTAATGTATTTAAGCCTAGTCTAGGTTCTAATTCTAATTTATATTTACATTTAGATTTAGATTTAAAATTAGATTTAGATTTAGATTTAAATTTAGATTTAGATTTAGATTTAGATTTAGATTTAAATTTAAATTTAAATTCTAATTCTGGCACCGCATTAGATAGATTAAGGGAGGACGAAGAGGAGGCACCCGCGCGCAATATCCTAGGCGGCAGAGACAGCAGTAGCAGGGTGGCGCGTCCAACTTTCCAGAAAGGACATAACCATAGTTAGAGTAGAGACTATACAAGGAAGAAGAGAAAAGCTGCTTTAGTAATGCTATTGTCCTTCTGCCGCCTAGATGCAAATAAGGACAAGAAAAACCTAAGGCAGGCGTAGTTTAAGGATAATAAAGTGCATAAAGGGGTTTACATCTAGGACCTACTTAACTATAAGAAAGTAGACTAGATAGATGACTACCGCCCTAACCTAGGGTTTAATTCTAGCAACGTGACAAAAAATAAGACCCTAGAACACAAGCTCACCCTGCACACTAGCAGTAATGTTAAAGGAGAGACAGAGAAGCCTAGCTAATTAATAGATAAGCTGCTTAAGTTAGATTATGCTTAGAAGGGGGTTTTGCCATATGTACTAGTACCTAACCTAAAAACCCCCCTAACACTTGTTAATCCGCCGCAGACCCAGACCTAGACCCAGACCTAGGTTCCCGTTCCTCCTTTAGGGCACGACGAGGTTCGGGCGTCTACTCCTACGCAAGGCCCTGTTGCCTCCGCACTAGAAGCCCTATTAGGACTTAATGCTTATAATAAGGATAGAAAGGCTATGCTTAACATTGCATATTAGAATTAACTTATTTACATCTTATGTATACAGACTTTGTACCTTTTAGCCTAATTTAGTAACAAGAAGATTAGCTAACATTTTAAAAATAAATATCCTAATAGCGCGTTAGCGTTTACTGCTTAGCTGCTAGCAGATTAAAAATATAAGGCTGCTTGCACTGTACTCTAAGACAGTGCTAAACTAGCAAACACACCCTAGACATAGATTTATAGTAAGAATAAAAAGGATCTACTAAACAAGAGTGTTATAGGCTTACTAAAGACTAATACAGTGTTTTGCAAATGTAAGCGTAAAGCATTAGAGCTTATATTAAATCTAGTCTACTAGCCTTAGGACTATTAAGCAGCTCTAACCACTAATTTTGTCCGCCATAGGAGCCATCCTCGACCGCCAGGAATGACATCCGCACAGACGCCCGCGTAGTGGCAGATCACAGGGGCTGCTGCAATTACAGACAAATATAACGCATTTATAAAGGACAACACTGCACTATGTAGTGTGTGCTTAGTTAACTAGGTTAGCATTAGTAAAACTAACACTGTTTTTTTTTCCTAGAACATTATAAGTTCTACTAACCTTATTTATTTAAAAGATTACTATAGGGTGCTAAAGACCTAAAAAGAGGGACAGAGGGAAGAGAAAAAGAGAAAAAAGAGGGGGGGGGATTTTAGATTAGGTACTAGTGTACTTAACCTAAAACACCCCCCTTCTTTCTCTCTCTCTCTCTCTCCTTCTTCTCTCTGTACCTATCTCTATTCTCTATGTGTCGCTTTCCTATCTAATTTAGACACTAACGCTCCCTAGTATCTTAATAAGAGGAAGATTAAGCTTTAGCAGCTGTATAATAATAAGAATTAAAAGGCTCTTAAAAATTATCCTACACCTAAGCTGTTTATCTACGCTACTTAACCCTATCTATTTAAACAGGCTGCTATTAACGCTTAGAATTTCTTTAATAAATATCACGTTATTATCTATGCTAGTAACAAGTCTTACTTGCTTAAGCAGATTAAGGAAGTTAAATATATTACTAGCACTTTTAAGCAAAACTATCTAATTTTTAACCCTAAAAATAAGATAAACTTTTAGGTTATCCTTATTACCTCTTACAGCATCTTGTACACTTAAAACAGTCCTGCTACGCATAAGGATTAGCTCCTTAAGTAATACACGCCTTTACAGTTAAAGGAGATGGATATTAACCTAGACATTAATTGCTTCCATCTATCTAAAGAATAGAAAGGTTATCTAGCGGGCATGTTCTAAGCTAGCGCATTGGATGAAGGGCAGTAAGTGCTTGCAGATGTACTCTGGGTCGCTGAGGCTATGCTTACATTCCTAGGTATTGTAAAACTTTCGACAGTATAGCTAGCTACGCGGTTCGCTGGCTCAAGCTCCCTTGGACCATGATCGTGACCGCCACGCTAATTCCCTGGAAATACTTGGATTTTAGAGGCCTACTTGGCTAACTCTTAATCTATAAAGCAAATTCTATAATATACAAGTAAATTATAATAGGCAATAGTAAATTAAAGCTAAATAAAGTAAACAATAGTAAATTACTATAACATATAGTAAATACTAAAGAATTTAAATATATTATAATAGTATAACTATAGTAACTTTTACTTAGCTAGAGGAAATTAAGAAGATAGTAGTAGATTATAGTATATTATAGTAAACTATAGTATATTTTAGTAAATTATAGTATATTATAGTAAACTAGAGTATATTATAGTAAACTATTA